CCCGCCTTATCAAAGAAACCGGTATTAGGAACCCGAATGTGAGTGAGACTATCTCGGAAAAGGATGGTCTTATTATCCATTCTCAATCTAGGAGGCTGGACCGATGGGCAGAACACTTTAGGGATCAGTTCAACTGGCCACGAGCCACTCTTCGGTTGCCCACGATCTCCAGTCATCCTGAATGGCAAATCGATTTAAGTCCTCCCAGTTTACATGAAGTTGAGAAAGCTATAGGAAATCTAAGGAGAGGTAGAGCGGCAGGTCCCGATAGGCTTACCCCAGAGATGTTTAAGGATGGTGGTCCAGTTTTAACGGTTAAACTGACCGAGATCCTAGGTAGAATCTGGGAAATGGACGTAATCCCATCTGACTGGTCTCAGTCGCTAATTGTCCCAATCTACAAGAAAGGACAGAAGTCCTCTTGTGACAATCACAGGGGAATAAGTTTAACTAATATAGTTTCTAAATTGTTGGCCTCGATTATACTTAGACGTCTAACTAGAGCTCGCGAAGAGCAGACTCGAGAAAACCAATCTGGTTTTCGACCTGGACGTGGTTGTATAGACCACATCTTCACACTACGACAGGTCCTGGAACACAGACACACATTTAGACGTCCGACAATAGTCGTGTTCCTGGACCTTAAGGCGGCATTCGACTCAGTGGATCGTGAGGTTCTGTGTCAGTGTCTGTCATTGAAAGGTGTACCAAAGAAGTACATTAACCTTATACAAGCACTCTACTCGAACACCACTGGTCGAGTGAGAGCATATGGCGAACTGTCATCGGTATTCTCTACATCAAGTGGTGTCCGTCAGGGCTGTCCACTCTCTCCATTCTTGTTCAACTTTGTCGTAGACATCCTCTTAGAGTTAACATTAAGCTCGTCAGATTTTTCAGGGGTTGACCTTCTACCAGGAAAGTCGCTTACTGATCTAGAATATGCCGATGACATAGTTCTATTCGGTGAAGACGCTGACAAAATGCAGAGTCTTCTGACTACCATAAGCAACAATGCAAGCATGTTCGGGATGCGGTTTTCCCCCTCGAAATGCAAAATGTTGCTTCAAGACTGGGTTGCTTCGGCACCTGAACTAGTGATAGGGAGTGAAGTAGTTGAGCGTGTAGATCACTTCACTTATCTTGGAAGTCTCATCAGTGCTGACGGTCTGGTGACTGACGAAATCTCAGTTCGGATACAGAAAGCTCGATTGGCTTTTGCCAACCTGCGTCACTTATGGCGTAGGCGTGATACCCGTTCGCTAACCAAAGGGCGGGTGTACTGCGCAGCAGTTCGTTCCGTTCTCTTATATGGCTGTGAAACATGGCCGTTAAGAGTAGAAGATGTTCGTAGGTTACTAGTATTCGATCATAGATGTTTAAGAAGCATTGCTCGTATATCGTGGGACAGCCGAGTAAGCAATGCTGTCGTTAGGAAACGAGTACTAGGTAAGGATGGCAGATCAATCGATGAAGTGGTGAAACTTCATCAGTTGAGGTGGTTGGGACATGTCTTACGTATGCCTAACCACCGACTGCCTCGACGAGCTATGTTTTGTAGTGTAGGAGTAGGTTGGAAGAAAGTTAGGGGCGGCCAGACCAAAACATGGCAAAAATCCATGAAGTCACTGACAAGTGGACTGAGTCATGTTGGTAGATGTAGAGTACCTGGTTGGGGTCCGCGAGACGAAAGTCATCAATGGTTAGAGACCTTGAACGACATGGCTCAAAATCGTTTGCAATGGCGCAGGTGCATCCACTCTTTGATCTCTCTCAAATCCTAATCTTCTGGATTAGCCAGCACCTCTACCTTTGTCTTTCTAACCTTATCTCACTGAATTATATTTTTTGAATAATATCTTAAACCCTAGTCTTCTTTATTATAACATTAATACCTCTACCATCTTTATCACAATTGGATTTGATTTGACATTTGCGTCTCTGTGCTAATAATGTGGTATGGCAACATGAACTTATGTACATACGTACGAAGTTCTACGTTGCAACTGACTGACTGACGTAAGCAGTTGAGATTACATGATACAAGATAAGCTCATTTGTAACATTCAAGTATTTTTAGAGGGGGAAAGGTAATTTAACAACTGAAAATCTGCTCTAAACACCCTTTCATTATTTCAAACCTCATAAACTAGTATTCTAACGAAGTCACCTTCAAAATATGCACTGATTATTATTAGAAAGCTGGAAAGCCGTTTTATCTTAGACTCATAACCAGTACATATTCAAGTGGGAATCAAACCAAAGCTCTTTGATCTCACGCGTTAACATTAAACCCCTTGACCATTGAGTCAGTATCCTATGTTCTTTTCATGCTTTTCTAAATAGAATGTTTCATAATATATCCATCACTGACTACCTCTTTTGATCATTTATAACTTCATCAGACAAACAGACAGATACAACGCAGAACTTCGTACGTAAGTACATCAGTTCAGATTGCCATATACCATCAGCACAGAGACGCAACTGTTGTGGTGTGAGCTACTTATAAGTAGTATATGAGGCGAGTGTAAACGTAATGTCTGGCAGCAGAAGATGGGGGAAGATCAACAAAGGAAGAACGGGAACACAATGGAATTTGTATGAAACGCGTGAATAGTGAGTGACAATGGATTGATGTTTTGCAACAGGAACAGTCCAGTTCGATATGATGGATTGATATTTTGCAAATGAACGATTTACGATATGGTTTTCCGATTTTACTGAGTAACTCTGTAGTTTTCGTTAAATACAATCCGGTTGCCCCACCTGTGTTCTCGTTCACTACACTGTCACTTCAAATCCAAGAGTGATAGTGATAGTAGAAGTGTAAACAGTAATGGAGAAGATTAGGGAGAGAAGATATGATTCAAGAAGTATATTTCAGTAAGATAAATTTAGAAGGAGAAAGATAGAGATTATGAGGAATTCAGAAGGTTAGAATTAAAAAGAACACAAAGAGTTAATGCACCTGAGCCATATCGTTCAATGTCTCTAACCATCAGTGACTTTCGTCTCGTGGACCACAACCAGGTAGAGCCTACATCTACCAACATCATTCAGTCCACTTGTCAATGAGTCCAAGTGTTAACATCAATAAATAAGAGAAATCCACTTACTTCCAAATTACCACCAGATCTAGCATGAATTAACATTTTCAATAAAGCTACAGCTGATATTTTAATCGATTTAAAATAATGTGGATCTTTTTCCCATGGTTTAGCATTCACTATTGATTGATGCACTTTAATATCATATTTAAAATATTCATCAATTGGATTTATGATTGTTTCAATATTATTTTCAATTTCCCATAATTCACGTGCAGAATTTGTAGTTGAAGAATTTGTAACAATCGGATTTTGATTGGTTGAATGTGAGGGAATAGATTCTTTATTAGTAGTCATAATAAAATCTGAAAATACAAAAAGAAAAAGAGGAAACTTATAGATTTACTTACTTAGTTAGTTATTTAGTATGTTTTGGAAAGAAAAAAGCATAGTGGAGAAGTGAGAAGTGAGTGAATCTATGGTTTGTGAGCTCCGATTACAGTCATTAAATTATAAGTTTATTAGAAAGTTAATTATTATCAGTAAACATTGTGGATTGCTGGGAGTTAGGTATCAACACTCATTGGTCTAAAGGTCAAAAGCACAGACATGACGCCAAAAGTCCTGAGTTCGATTCCTGCCCACAGCATCGTAGATGCTCACTATTGATATGTCCCATAGTAGGAAGAAACCGCTGTTCGGTGATTCTATACTTCCAATGATGGATTAATATTGATCAACTCAGGATTTCAATGAAACTAAACAATCTTCACAACTCTATAATGTCATTCATTCGTGGAGATGAGATATTAGGTGTAGGAAGGAGGATTTGATTGTGACTTACTCGGTGTCGTATGCTATTACCGGTATGAGGACAGATGTCACTTCCCATAGTGTGGAAGTATTTTTCGATGAACCCGGAAAAGAAGTTGGATAAGTGTTGGTTTCGGCAACCTAGGCGTGTGATCCAATAGACCGAGGGATAACTGTTTCAGGTCGGTCACGTACAGCCTTTTTATGCGTAATCTTTAGTGTTAGCCCCGTTCTTTTTAAAAGGCCTGACCACCGGAGACGGAAATCCGTGAAATAAGATGGAGTTTTACATTGATAGGCTCGACTTCTTCTAACGCATGCCATCAGTTGTAAGGAGGCAGCATCGTTGTGGATGCTGTTTATCCGAGGGAAACACCTCACTGCTATCATACAGCGAACAGAATGACCTCGCCGCCAGACCTTCAGTTGGAACTTTTAGACTAACCGTTCTCCAATCGATCTGTCTATCATAGCAGGACCAAGAGGAACAAATGTTCTAGTCCATATAGCTCAGTTGGGTCATCACGACAAACAAGTCCGAACACTTGATAGATTTGTAATCATAAGGGTATATATTTAAAGATTTATTCATGAGTTATCATGTGTTGACAGGTATTTTTGACCAAAATACTTTCAAAAACAAAACGAAATCTTAATCAACTAAAATAACATTTTCACAATTTATTTGATTATCAATAATTAAGTGATTAGAGGTTACGATTGATTGTTCAAACACACACAAAAAATGAGGATACGCATATATGCTGAAATTAATTACGGCATATACACCAATATACAGTCAGTCAGTCAGTTGCAACGTAGAACTTCGTACGTATGTACATAAGTTCAGGTTGCCATACCACATTAGCACAGAGATGCAAATGTCAAATCAAATCCCATAGTGATAGAGATAGTAGAGGTATTAATGGTAATGAATAAGACTAGGTTTGAAGATATTATTCAAGAAATATAATTCAGTGAGATAAGGTTAGAAAGACAAAGGTAGATGTGCTGACGAATCCAGATTAGGATTTGAGAGAAAACAAAGAATGGATGCACTTGCGCCATTCCAAACGACACCAATATACAGGCATAATTGACTGACAGTTCACTTGGTACAGTTACATAATTATCACTGTTCGTAATTGTTTAATTCTACATCCATTAAATGTCTCAATAAAATGAGTGAATTTCATGAATCCAAAAACAGCATACTCTTATGATGTGTGGCGGATTCCGAAATCTGATCGCGGCATATTATGCTAACCACCTCCTCAAAATGGAATACAGGAGTGAGAAGACAACAGTAGAAGAGGAAATCTATTTGACCAATGATAACATGTATTCGTCCGATAAGACATCATTGTTTGACGGTCATCAAATGACCTTCACACCTGATCACTTCTGATTGGCTCATTATATCATATACCAAACAGACACACACAAATACTACTTCACACATAACAAAAAAGTGCAATTCAGTATTTAACAAACTTTTATTAGAAATAATATTTATATAAATACTGAATACATTGATATTGTTGTCTAAATCACTACTTCACTGTATTACAAGTAGTAGTCATTAATGAACAAGAAAAAAAAACAAAACAGGAGAGGAAACAAAAATGAAAACTAAATATAATTTCGAAAAAAGAAAACTAAACCAACTTTTATACAATAATAATAATAATTTCAATGATCCCTCACCCTCACACACACACACCCACACACACACATACAAACAAACAACAAACAAAAAACGACTATAAAAAGAAAAAACCATAACAATGTGACCAGATAATTTTTACAGTTTGTTTGTTCGACTACCACTACCACTACTCAAGTCGAACACTATTGAATATTGAATGAACTAGATAAATGTATGTCCGTATGTGTGTATGAATGAGTGCGAAAAAAATCGATAATATTGATGAATGCAAAAAGGTGATAGATAGATATGTGAATTGAATAAGGAAAAAATTCACACACCAAAATGAACGCGAATAGATGATGAGGAGGAGGATGATGATTTTGATGATGAAATAAAAAATGCTTTTCAAATTGATGGTATTGTTTTTCTCTCTTTACAAAAATCATCCATACATTTTGGTAATTTAGTAAAAAAACAATTAAGGAGAAACATAAAACAAGGTGATATACATAAACATATATATATTGAATAGAATAATATAAATATCAATATGTATATATATAGATGTAGTTCAGAAAACAGAAAAAAACTAGAAATACATATGTAAATATATATATATTTGAAAAGAAAAATTTGTTCAAAATTCAATAATTTCATTTCAAAATTCAATTATATTTTAATGGTTGTTTCCATTGACCACGAGGTTGTGATTTAATTGAATGATGTTGTGAATGAGGAGAATGATGTTGAGAATGATTGATTGATGAAGATGATGATGATGATAATTTATATTTTTCCGTTGAATTCATCATATTCATATCAGATTCATGAAGTGGTAAATTAATTTTCATTAAAGGTAATCTTGACCAATTAACAAATGTTTTTAAAGGACGTGCAGGAATATTCACATTCAATGCTTTAAGGCGTAGATTACGATCAGATGTTAACAGGACTACTTCACGTATAAGTCGCATTGGTTGATCTGTGAATAGAGAAAAAAACAATCATTGATTATTATTATTATTACTATGATTAAAGAAGGCTCGACTGGCATTCACTAACTTGCACCCCTTACAGTGTAGAGAATATATTGTCTGCTAACTAACGGATGAGTCTAGTACGCAGCATTTATATCCATCCTACTTTACGGGTGTGAAACATGACCACTAATCATTGAGGATATTTGTAGGTTAACTAGTATTCAATCACAGTGTTGGGGATGTTAGATCCCCAAAACTCGCTTGATAATGCCTTATTTTGGTTGTCACGTATGCTAGCATGGGCTGATCAGTTGACCTTGAGATTTCAATTCCCACCAGGAAAATCCATGGCTGTGATTGGTTGTTGTGTATTTTAGTATGATATTCTCTTAACTGTCCCAAGGACGTTTCTATGTTGTATAAATAAACGAGAGTTGTATGCTTGATTGTATTGTGATTGCTGGGTGTTTGTAGAATATACTTTCTACGCTTAAAAAGTCTTTTTACTCGCTTTGGGGATTCAAGGTAGCCTACCTGGACGCTGGTAAAAGTCTCGTTCGCGTTTATCGACCGCAAGCATACTAAGTGACGAACTTATCACACAGGTATCTTCGAAAGATTGCTCGTATATCCTGATAAAATCGAGTAGGCAGTGTGCACGTGTTATGAAACAAGTACTAGGTAAGGATGGTAGATCAATAGATGAAGAAGTGAAGCTTCATCAGTTGAGGTGGTTAGGACATGCAATGTGTATGCATGCCTAAACATCAACTGCCAGAGGAGCGACAGACAGACAGATACAACGCAGAACTTCGTACATAAGTACATCAGTTCAGGTTGCCATACCACATCAGCACACAGACGTAACCGAATCCAAGAGTGATAGCGATAGTAGAAGTATTAGCAGTAATGGAGAAGATTAGGGAGCGAAAATATAATTCGAGAAGTATGATTCAGTGAGATAAATTTAGAAGGAGAAAGGTAGAGATTATGAGGAATGCAGAAGGTTAGAATTAAAAAGCACACAAAGAGTGGATGCACCTGCGCCACTAGAGGAGCGACGCTGTCTGATGTAGGAGTAGACTGAAAGAAAGCTAGAGGTGGCCAAACAAAAACAGCACAAATCTTTAAAGGCACTAACAACTGAACTAAGCCACGTCAATATGTGTAGACTACATGATTGGGGTTCGCGAGACGAAGGTCACCGATGGTTAGAGACCTTGAATGACATGGCTCAAAATCGTTTATAATGGCGCAGATGCATTCACTCTTTCTATGCTCTCAAATTATAATTTTCTGAACTCCTTATCACCTTCATTTTCTTCTCTCTAAATTTATTCAACTGGATTATACTTCCTACCGAAGATAATCGCAGTTCGAATGATCATTATGTAATAACGTCTAATAAGTTAAACGGTGCTTATCTATACCTTAAGAACACATGGAAAAATATTTTCATGATAGAGAAATAAAACATTTCTTAGTTAGACCATTATTGAAAACATGGAAGCACTTGATAGCTATTTCGTCTTTGTATGCGATGACTTATGAGTAGCAGCATATCAGTCTGTCACTGCCATGGCAGTGGGAGATGCAGCTGTCACTTCAAATCCCATAGTAGTAGAGGTAGTAGGTAGAAGTATTAGCAGTATTCGGAGAGATAATGGTTCGAGGATATATTATTCAAGAAGTATAATTCAGTGAAATAAATTTAAAAAGAGAAAACTAGGAGGTGATGAGGAATTAAGAACGTTAGAATTCGAGAAAACACTAAGAATGGATGCACCTAGGCCATGGAAAACGGTTTTGAGCCATGTCATTCGGGGTCTCTAACCATCAATTATTATCATGTCACGAATCTTAACCAGGCAGTCGACACCTAAACCTAAAAACATGACTAAATCCAGTTGTCAGTGACTTTATAAATTTCTGCCATGTTTGGTTTGGCTACCCATAGCTTTCTTTTTCTAAATTACTCCTACACCACAGAACAAAGCCGTTGGTGGTAGGGCATACGTAACACATGTCCCAACCACCTCAAATGATGAAGTTTCAATATTTCATCTATTGATCTGGCACTCTTACCTAGGACCCATTTCCAAGCAACAACATCGCCTACTCGGTTGTCCCATGATACACGAGCAATGATCGTAAACCAACAACCTATGAATAGCAGCACATTACCAACCCTGCGCAATCAAAAACCGAGCACATGACATTCAGTTTTGCGTGTGAACACTAATATCCTTTTGATTATTGAGTTTGGAGGTTTGCGTTTGAAATCATCAATCAATCATTTTTAGACCACCACCATTAAAAACCTGGAAGCACTGGACGGCCGTTTCGTCCTGGTATGGGACTCATCAGCAGTGCGCATCCACGACTCCTGCTCCTCGCAGGATTCGAACCCGGCACCTTCGGTATTGTGCACGAACGCCTAACCTCTGGACTACTGGGTCGGCATCCAGTGGTGTTAATCTCTAACTCTGATTGATCTAGGGATTTTGCGCGACCTCACCCATTTGTCTTTGGTAGTTACTGCCAACACCCGACAGGGTTGAACTCCACTGGTGGTCACGTCTTCTCAACTAGAACTCCGAGAATTTCCTCACGAAGCTAGTCACTAGTGAGCACTGTTACGATATTTTGGGGCACAGTTTTGGAGGTTTGCGTTTTTACACATTTGAAATAAAAATAATAATTCAAACTTACTATTTTGATCACCTTGTATAGCAGAGTGATCAATACTTGATGACAAATTTCTTAACTGAAGAAAATGATCCGAGCTTTCTTTACAAAAATGTTGACAACATGTTAAAATCACATCATCATTAGTTTGACCCGGTGTCCGGCCGCCATTAATTTCATTACGATATGCAATCGTCTCCATTAAACTACCACGTGCTGTCAGTGCACGTAGACGTGAATTTCTATGTTCAAATTGATATTCTAAATAATTAATTGCAAGTTTTGCACGTTCTTGTATTAGACCAGCACGTGTTACTTCCCCGCCGACAGTTGTATCATAGGAACGATCAAATCCACCGGCACTGTTACTACTACTTCCGTAACGACTTAAAGTGTCTAATTCATTGACAACTAAGAAATAAGCAAAAGTAATAAATATTGTTATTATGATTATTATTATTATTATTATGAGCATTGAAATGTGATACTTTTAAAAGTAATTATTTGTTCAACTATAAGAGTTAGTCAGTAAGTCAGTTACAACGTAGAACTTCGTACGTAGGTACGTACGTACGTACGTGGATGAGATCAGGTTGTCATACCATGGTAACACAAACATACAATCGTCAATTCAAATCCAATAGTAGTAGAGGTGTGGTGCGCGCTACTTATAAGTAGTATATGACGTGAGTAAAGACGTAATGTCTGGCAGCGGAAGATGGGGGAAGATCAAAAAAGGAAGAGCGGGAATACAATGGGATTTGTATGAAACGCATGAACAGTGAAATGTTAGACAATGGATTGATGTTTTGCAACAGGAACAGTCCAGTTCGATATGATGGATTGATATTTTGCAAATTAACGATTTACGATATGGTTTTCCGATTTTACTGAGTAACTCTGTAATTTTCGTTAAATACAATCCGGTTGCCCACCTGTGTTCTCGTTCACTACACTATCATTTCGCAGACCCCAATAAAGTAGTCTGAGCCTATCAAACACGGTTCAATCCATTTGTCAGTGACTTCATGGATTTGATTATAAGGGTTGAATGGAACTACTCAGCTTTCTAAAACTTTATTCTACAATACAATACCATAAATAATTCTTATTAATAAACATTTAAGACGTAATTTGTTGTCGATTTTACTTTGAAGAATAGACAAACGATAACTGACTCCTCCGACTCGACGTAACAGTTCTGAAATGTTTAGAGAAGATTATATGAAACAAAAATCCGTTGATCTTGATAGATGGTTGATGTGTTAAAACACTGTGAATGGATTTTCAGCGGTGCTTATTTCACAGATCTCTCCTTTGGATCACCAATTTATAATAATGTGTATTGGGTTTCTCTGTGGTGGCCGATTTCGACGTTGGGATCACCATTTGTAATGTACACTGGCGAGCGAATGGGCGCTTGAAGCGAATCGTATGGAGCGATGTGGAGAAGCTAGTGAGCCAACTCCTAGGATTACAATGTAAACGAATGGGCGAAGGAAGCGATGTGGAGAGTGGCTAATGAGCCAAATCCAGAGATAGAGCATGACTAAGAATATATAGTCAGACAAATAAAGGACAGACATGTTATGGTGGCCGATTTTGTTGACGTCAGGATCACTATTTGTGTACACTGGCGAGCGAATGAGCGACTGAAGCAAATCGATGGTTACGTTTACAGTTTCTGCATCTGAAGAGATTCACGGCTTTTCCACGGTCGTCTGAGTAACCCACCGTTGTCACCGTCGTTCTGGACTGTGAGCCGTTGCTCCTGTTTTAAAAAGTATCCACAATACCTGTTCCGCCTCTGGCCCACCTATTCTCGATTGCAGGGCATGGCTATTCTTTTAGCGTTATGGCCGACCGAAGTTAATTTGTTTGCAATACAGAGCTAAGCCGTTCGACACAGTAAAAAATTCATGGAAGTTGTCGGTAAGAAGCGTAGTATACTTGTGAGAGAGTTCCAAATACCGTGTGTCACGGATATATGACTCAGATCTGGATATGCCATTTCCTGTTGAGAAAAATCTATTCCAGTTAGGGAGCTGTACACATAGGCTTTGTCTACGGATTAGTTGGTGCGAGAGACTAATCGGCCGGCTGATTTCCGGCTCATTTACGAGAAGGCCCCGTCGACGCGGGTACAATTACCATGCCATAGTTCTATTTCAATTTAGCGGCCCAAATGCGAAGATCGACATGTAGTGTTCATGGGAACCACAGCGCCATTCCAATCTTACATTTCGAAATCGACTCAGGTTTGGGCCTGCATGTAAACCATGTAACGGCAGGAACTATTATAGGCATAATCTTATCGCCCGCTGACATGGCCCATCACTCCGGATGCATCTTTTAAACCAAAGCTTGTGACTGTTGGTATTCCATCGTGAGCGCCCACGTAATTCACAACTTCTGGCCCCGATGGACTCATTTCGTTTAATCTCCAGCGGCTATCGACCAAGCATGCCCGTACAACTCGTTCAGGTTTTCGAGCGACTTTGGCCCACTTGAGAATCGGTGATGCCTATCCTCCTTCTTTACATCTAATTCATTCAACTTTCGGCACCACTAACTCTTTCACCCAAAACCATCAAGCACCAAGGCGGTGTGGACGCATCGCAATTAGCTGAACTCCCGCGCCACGAGAGATTCCACACGTTGCTTGCATGTCCTCAAGCTCTTTCAAACGTATTGTCGCACGGCCTCAACCTTTAGTGAACAATAGTATTCATTCGTCCGTCCTCTGATGATCATCGTTATTGATACGTACTGGTGTTCTGCTTTCGTTCATTAGCAAACGCATTTTTGTATGTCTGTAGTAAATTAGCAGACCACCACCATCGTAAACATGCGCGAAACTGGCGGTGTCAGATAAAACAATTCTCCGTGCGTGGTTATCCTCGTATGCGCTTCTGGGGCATGTCGTTGTTGATACCTAGGCTGCATATGGGTATTATAGCGGGACATCAGCCAAAACTTGTTAAGCCTGGCCTCCTCGGACGCAAACCAATCTAAGACACCCAAAGCTTTACAATTTATGAATCAGACTGGAGTTAAATAGCATACCCGCAAAGTAAATAGTCGACGAATCCCTGAGCCCGAAAGACACACTGTTCTACATCCTCCCACCTCACTTGTAATAAACAGACGAAGATTAATTTACAAATGGCTGTGCAGAGGCCTTCTCCACATTGTGTCTGTACGTTGAAGCAACAGGCTCTCTATGGGACTATCTTCTTTAGAAACCAAACTGTAATGGTCACACATATTCACTTACCGCCCACTAATACCACGTACAGAAAAACCATGACTGAGGATAGTGCACATAGTCAGAGCAGAATCATCTAATCTTATGCCAATTCTACAAATCAAAAATACCAACTCACGTTCCAATAGCATCACCAAGAGTAATGTAAAAGTCATACATATACACTACTGGTGACTCAGAACCTAAATGGTTGTGACAGGAAAGATATTAAGGCTCAATATGCATTAACACGGCTTACTGACGAAATATAAGGATACAAGGTTCTTCCATAGTACAACCGCCAGGGAAATAAGACTCTGGGAGCACCTCCCCGTTTTCCTTGCTACGTGCATAACAAGCCACCAAACAATGTCAATTTCATGAACAGACTGACACTTTAAACTTCCATGCAATCCGATATGCCTCGACATAAATGGGCTTAGCTTCGCTGAAACATATGATGACATGAAACGCAGTGCCAGCAAGCAGCAAAAAAGGTGGATGTCCCACATTTTCATGGGTTCATTCTAGGGACTCGAATAGTTTTGGAGTCCGGGCAGTGATAAAACGGTAGTTGTTAGTTCCTAAATGCGGCAGAAATTACTCAATGACTTTCAGGCTCGGCTGCCTGCTAGTCCAAAAGTGAATTTACACAGATCGGCTTGAACTTACCATCCCCCTGAAACTATAGCTCGACGATCCGTTGCTGCTGTTCTCTGAGACAGTTGGTCTACATCACATAGAGCACCAATCATCATTAAATGCCCTAAAGCCTTGTTGCGCTATCCGGGCTTACAAACCGACTGTTAAGGTTAGACCTGGTGTTATAAGGCGACCACACTTGAACTATATAACCCCGTGGCACTGGATAGGGCTGCCAGAGAGTACGACCATAATTTGAGGAAGCGACTGACACTGGTCTTCCAGGACAAACACTGAATCTTCAACCGGCAAACCAGCAGTTCCCGCTATTCCCCACGGTTGAACGGATGCCCACCGGTAGCCGTAATAGAAACTCGAATATCATCATACTTTCGATTCAGTAAGTAAAGCTACTCAATACAACATCGATAACGAGTATCTAATAGTAGTGACGAGTTGACGTGCTCTACAAAGGATGTTGGTTCTTAAAAGTAATTGAAGTTCAGTCTCCAGAAACTTTACCGCAAACCCCAATATTTCCTGCCTGTGGGGTGTTATCAAATTCACTGCCTCTCAACACCAGACAACGTTCCTGCAATCCTGTTGTCGTTCCTAACTTTTGAATTGGAATGTAGAGTATATCGTTCGAGTGCTATTGAGCCGAGATCTTACCTTCACGGCGGATAAAACAGGAAAGGTCCCTAAAATTTGACACTTTTGCACAATCGCTCATTTTTAATCCTCTCAGGCCGGTTCCTTCCCCACCTTATGAACAAGTGCTATATAATAAAATCGTCATGAGAGCGCCGGAAAGCAGGCAAGCGAGCGAATTGGCGAATCAACGGATGGAGCGATGTGGAGAAGGCTAAAGAGCCAACTCCAAGGATTACAATGAGAACGAATGGGCGAAGGAAGCAAATGAAAAGGAGAAGTGCGTTGGAGAAGGCTAATTAGCCAACTCCAAGATATAGAACATGACTAAGAATATATAGTCAGACAAAAATAAGACAGACATGTGACAAGCGAAATAGGCATGTACACATGAATAAAAGTGACGAATGATTGACAAGGTCAAATGACAAGTGGGACACGTCATGTGATCTACAATACAAACCAGACAACTATATAAGAAAACGAATGGGACGTATAAATTTTTTTTTTTTGTTTGGCAATACAAATGGCTTGGTTAAATAAGGCAATTGAAAGGGTTTAACCAAATTAAATGTAAGCGAACTGGAATATATGTGGAGGCACTACGTTCTGATCCTTAGCACTGGCTGGATTTCATCGATAAATTTGCAATACAGTGTGATAAAATTTGGTTTTTAAAGCTAACATGACCTTATCGGGCAAAAACGAATTGGGTTGCTGATGAAGTTATTAAGACAACACAAATATTCAAGAACTAGTACAATTACACCTGGCTTAGAACCAGTCCACATTACACAAAACGATTTCACACTTTACCTAGTATGATTCTAACTTTGGACATTATATTCGAGTTCTTATTTCACACATCAGTATAGTCTGTAAGTTCTCAACTGTCGGGTACTACAATCACACTTATACTGTGTTCGGATGCCTATGTACAAGACTGCTCCAAGGAGTGCGTAGCGAAACGATCGTCGTGTAGTAGAGAATTGCGCTACAGTCCGACACAGCCGACGAGAAGTATAACACCCCCCCCCCCCCCAACCGTCTCCCCCACCCCAGTTGAGGCAAAAGCACAGCGTGTTCAGAATACTTCGAAGACCATATCAGCAAGCACTTTATTATTATTATTATCATTATTATTACTATTATTTGAATAAGCATAGACCAAACACAACATTTTTTTTACAAAATACACAGTTGTCAATATTGAACGACTACTTTTTACCGGGACACATAGGAAACGTAGTACAGTGTTATTTTGACGATTTTTGAGCTAAGCGTAGCTATACCTTCTAAACCACTCAAATATAACAATTTGCTATCCGGTATAAATAAATACATGGTCTAACTTCAATTTCCACAGCTCTTTGGTCCACCAGATGCTCTTGTTTTATAGCATTACGACGCCAGTGCATCTAGACGAGCTTATTCACGAGTTGGTTTTTTGCAGGAAAGCTCCTTTGTCGTTGTAAAACTGCAATGTCAGTGTGAACAGATAATTCCCATCTAATGTACAATCTTCTGATAATTGATTTTCGTTATTATTATTAT